CCCGTCCTTTGCCGAGGCCCCAAACGAGGGCCGGCCGCTGGGGCCGACCCTTGAACAACCTTTCCAAAAACACACATACCACCCTTAGGACCTGTCTTTACTAATTGCTTGTGTTGGGTTGGCCCTTCTTGTAACTCTTTCCCAAACTTTTCCCTTTACTCAAATACCCTTTCCCAATTTTTTTTATTTTTTTTTTCCCCCCCTTGAAGTGCCATTTCAAGTCTGTCTAGTCTTTTTAGAACCTTTAAAATTTTTTAAACAAGTTTTTTCCCTGACAGTGGGAAATAATAGTGGGAAATTTTGGAAAAAGACCCCTTTTGGGACAGTTAGGACATTTATTAAAGGAAACGTTTTTGGGGCCCCGGGGTGGCCTCTTCAGTCCTAATACAAAAGGGAAAAAAAGAAAACACACATATATTAGTGGTGGGGTCAGGTGGGGAAGGGGTGGGGAGGGTGGTAATAGTAGTTTTAATAATGGAAATAAGGAGGTGAGGTTTAGAGGGGCCTGCTGGCATAAGGGAACACCAGTTCCCCCGGGTGGGAATATCCTCTTGCCTTTTAAATTTTTTAAAAACTGTAACTACCGGATTTTTGCTTTATAGTGTTACTGGCAGAAAAAAAAAGGGGAGCTTCAATGCATTTTCCCCCCGCTTAAGTCGTCTTTTTTATAACTAGTTTAGCTTCATTGAATTTTAAAGAGGGTGTCCAAATTTGGGCTCTATGTTTAACACATGCGGTTTTTTCGGGCATCATTTCTGCAAGAAATTTTTTTGTTCCATTCTTAAAGTCCAGAGTTCGGCTGTTTCCCCCTAATATACTTTGTCCACCCCCCACATTTGGGATATGTAGATTCCTCAAATTTTGCCAGACCCTGCTTGGGTTTTTGTAAACAGGGTTCCCAATAGTAGTTTAAGAGCTGGGGAGATATTTTAGGGCCCTTTTCTTCAAACATTTTTGGGAAAAAATTAGTCAACGTTTCGGGGCCCGGGAAAACGATGTAACTTGGAGGCTTTTTTTCAATTTTTTATAGGGGGTTGGTTTGTGAGGATACTGTTTTCACGTTTCCTGCGTCACGTTTGAAGTGTAAGGGAAAGTGTAGTGAAATAAAAAAGTTTGGGGGTAAGTACATTCTTCTTCGAGGAAAAGCGGACTGGAAAATTTTGTAGGCCCCCAGAAAGGAAAACCAATAACTAAACCCCCCTTTTTGTTCTTGTGTCAGGTGAGGAAGAAATGTAGAAGATCATTTTTTGAGGTGGGTTCCCGGGAGACTTTAAAAGAAAGTTTGCTTTCCCCGTGCGTAAGAGGGAAAAGTCGAGAAAAGGTAACTGGTTTTCCTTTCCCCCCTCAGAGTAAATTTTTAAAAAAATAGGTTCCAGAATTTTTTGAGGGGGTTGAGGGGCCCTGTAAAGTCAAGAAATTTTTTGGGGGGAATGCCCAAAAAAAATTTATCTACTACCGGGACCAAGTAACTTTCGGGGGGATGTTATTGAGGGGTCCCTTCCCTTTATTCCAGGGCCTCCAAAATATTTAAAATTTGGGAAAACTTCACTAAGGGGGGGTCCCCCCGGTAGTCCGAAAAAGGTTTTTTTACTTCTTTTTCCCCCGGACCTAAAAAAAAGTTATAACGAAAACAAAGTTCGACAAAAGGGCCCCAGAGTTACCTTTCCCCCCCAAGATTTTTTTGAGCCTTTCGAACTTTTTGTTCGTTTTTAACGTTTTTGGTTCGAGGACAAAAGTACAAACAACTTTCGGACTAGCCATGGGATCCCCCCCTTTGTGCAGTTTTTTTTGCCAATTTTTTATTTTGGAGACCTGGAATCAAGAAAGGGTCCTCCCAAAAAAACCCTCGTTCGTTACTTTTGGGTGCGGGGAAAGTAAATGTTTTTTGGGGCATTGTACCCCCCAAATTTTTTTGGGCGGGAAAAGGGCATCCTCAACACCCCAACAACTGGGGAAACCCACTATTAAATTTACTCTTTGAGGGGGGGAGAAGGAAAAACCCCTTTTCCTTTTTTTCGACGTTCTCTTACGCACAGGGGGGAAAACAAACTTTTTTTTTAAAGGTTTTACCCGGGAAACCTACCTACAAGAATGATCTTCTACCCTTCTTCCCCTCCCATGAACAAGAACTAAAAAAAGGGGGAAATTATTGGCCCTTTTTTTCTGAGAGCCCACAAAAATTTCCCGTCCCAGTTCCCCGAAGAAGAAAGGTTTCTACATCACCAACTCCTTTTTGTTCACTTTCACTTTTCCCCACACTTCATACGTACTGCAGGGAAAAGTGCAACACGTATCCCCCAGCCCAAAACCAAAAACCTATCAAATTTTAAAAAAAGCCTCCAAGTTACATCGTTTTTAACCCCGGGCCCGCAAAGTTGGGCCCCAAAAATTTCAAAAATTTTGACAAAAATGGCTAAAAAAACTACCAGCTCTTCAACTACTATTAGGAACCCGATACAAAAAAACCCCAAACATGATCTGGCACAATGCAGGAATTTAACCCCTATACCTTTTGGGGGGGGTGACAAAAGTAATGTAGGGGAAAAAGCCCCGAACTCTGGGCAAATTTGAAAAACAGAACAAAAAATGCTTGCAGAAATGGGTGAAACCCCAAAAAAAAAATGTTGGGTTTAACAAGGACGATGTTGGACACCTCTTTAAATTTTAAAGAAGCTAAACAAATTATTAAAGGGGCGACTTTAAAACGGGGAAAATGGGGTTGAAGCTGCCCCTAATTTCTGGGCAGTAACCCCCTAAAGCAAAAACCTTTTAGTTAAAAGTATTTTAAAAATTTCTAAGCAAGAGGAATTTTCCCTCCTGGGGAAAATGGGTTTTTACTGATGCCAGCAGGTCCCCCTCTAAAAACACCTCCTTAGTTCCAAATACTACTATACACTAAAAACCCCCTCTACCCCCCGTTCACCCCCCCTGACTCCCACCATATTATATGTTTGTTTTTCTTAGTTTTCCCCGTATTAAAGGAATGAAAAAAAGCCATCGTGGCGAAAAGTTTTTCCTTTTTAATTTAAAAGTCCTGAAAATGTACATAAGTGTCCCTTTTTTTTCATCTTGTCGGGGTTTACCATACCCCATTTCCCCAAAAGTGGGAATGTTTGGGCATGGTGATAGCATTTTCTTTAAGGAATATGGAAGCTTCCTAACATGCATCCCGTAAAGTACTAAACAGGGCCCAAAACAAAGTCACCCCTGTTATCACTTTTACCTCGTCAGCATTATAATCAACATCACCAAAACCCTGACAGATTTCATCACTCTTGTACGTAGCTCTGACCTTCGCTTCACTGGTATCTGATGGAGGAGACTTCTACGCACTGGCCTGGAGTTTTAGTACTCACTTGCCAATGGTTCAAACCCTACCCGTTCTGTGGCTTGTTGGTATTTGTGTTATTACGATTTGGTGAGTTATTATGATGCTCCCTCCCTTGATTATCTTACCAACGAGAAAGAATGAAAGTAACAGCAGAAAATAATCCGCGTAAGTCTTCACAAAAGTGGATTAAGAGTGAAATTAAGACGGGCGCACGATCAGCTTATTTATATTATACACAAGTAACCATCTCTGGGAACTCTTTGAACCCAGCCAATTAGAGTGTCGGAACTCTTAGTTACCGAGATGTTTTCTTAATCAAAAATCTAATTGCTGGGTATTTCTTATAATTACTTTCTAATTGGTATTCGATACCGCCTCTGAACAGGGTGGAAATTATAAGGAATGATAAGTAGAAATACGGGAATATATAAAAAAAGAATCTGATTCGAAAGAAAGGATAAAATTAAGAAAAAAATAGAAAAAAAGGTAAATGGTTAAGTAAAAGGCTATTTAGGAGGATAATTTAGAAGAAATCATTGTGAAAAAGTTTTTAATACACTGTCTGTGTGTTAGGAAAAGGACACAAATGCATTTAATGTGACATATTATTTTACCACAATAAAATGTCAGATTAGTTGCACTTGTGTCCTTGTACCTGACATATTGTCGATAATTCTACCAACATTATTACGCTGTGTCTCTTAAAATGGCTGACTGACTAAAAAAGAAGTTAACATTTACCGTCATTTACTCAATCACCGCCTTGACATCACGTTTCAGATTTCTCTCCGAACTGTAACTTCCTCGCCTCCCATCTAAAGTGAAGGCGTCGTACTTCCCATCTGCAGGACTCGAGTCCTGGAGGTGGGATTGTATTTGCAAATGCTACACAATCTTCATATCACCTTGCGTCAGCAGCCAAGCAATGGTCACACATAACTCCCAAATTTTATATCAAATTTTCGTCTGTTTAAATTTACAGATGAGAGAGAAAGACATTAATGGATTTTAATATTCTTGGACGTTTATTGTGATTCTACTTATTTAATGGGGTGGAAAATCCAACTCCAATACGCGTGATTAGGTTTTCGGCTGAGGGAATGATCACCTCAAAATCATTTCTACGGTCTCCCGTGTTATATTTCGACTGAAGAAGCCTGCAACGCCCGTCAAACCTTACGGTAGTAAAGATATCCAAATGTTGCATATGTCTTATTCATCAGTTTCTTGGTATTTCACCAAGTTAATAATGTGATACCAATGGTTGTGTAACTAAGGGCATACAACACTGATACCGCAGACGTTGCTTAATCACTCAGAGTGTCATCATCTTACAATGATCTGCAGGCATTATGCACACAGACAAAGCACTCTCCACCAGCTAGATTTTATCCAAATTATGTACTTCTTTACGAGCGTCATTCCTGTTAGGAATTTTGTCAGTCATTGCTATACAGGATCTCCCGTAAATCTGGAAGCATTCGCTATAGGGCATAAAAGACACACACAGCACCATCACTGCTAGTGCCACTCACTGTGTACTTCCCGACCGGCTATCTCGTCTGCCATTGGTGCATTATTAACAATGACGGATATATTCAACACGTTCTATGAATGAGAACCTTCATTACTGCCTTTTTTAATTATAAACGTCTCTGCTCTCCCCATAGTTACAGACTTATAATAAAATTTCCCTCACTAGAGTATGGAGGAGATCGAGCTGGGCAAAGCGACCACACGAAGTGTGGACCCCAGAGCTGGGGTGACCTACGCCTGGAGGAAACTCAACGTCTTCGCCCCTGGAAAAGGGATCTGCAAGAAGTCACCCAAAGCACACATTCTCAAGGACGGTGAGTCAGGAAGTTCTCCAGGCGTTCTCCTTCCGATTTCAAATATTTCATACACACACACACACACATACACACACACATACACACATACACACACACATACACACACACATACACACACACATACACACACACATACACACACACATACACACACACATACACACACACATACACACACACATACACACACACATACACACACACATCACACACTACACACCCCATACACACCACATACACACACACATACATATATATATATATATATATATATATATATATGTTTCATTAACGTGATCTATATACATCTAAATCTTTATTTGTCCAGCACTTTATGTACTTGTAGAGAGTAATAGAATGTAGCCGACACAACGTCCGATATATATACAAGTACCAGTTATATAAGATAGTGGGGAGCCAAGGTTTTATGTAAATGTGCTACATGTGGTACATGTGCTGTAATTTACATGCTGCTGTACAGGCTGTTGTACATGCTGCTGTACATGCTGCTGTACATGCTGCTGTACAGGCTGTTGTACATGCTGCTGTACATGCTGCTGTACATGCTGCTGTACAGGCTGTTGTACAGGCTGCTGTACAGGCTGTTGTACATGCTGCTGTACATGCTGCTGTACATGCTGCTGTACAGGCTGCTGTACAGGGTAAACCTTGTCTTAGCGTTTTGGTCAGTATCTATGTTTTTATTTTTTTTTTTTGTGTTGCGTGATTAACTCAACTCACTCCACATGTATGTCCACTAATGTTTACAGTTTTCTCAGTCTGTTCAGTGTAAACAAGAATTATGTAGAAAATTACTCCTTAGATAATAAATATCTAGACACTTACAATAAGAAATAAAGATGAGTCTTAGTTTACGCTTGGTACACAAAATCAATGAAGCTGCACTTTAATCTCAACTATTAAATCCAGAAATCTTAATCCATTTATATATACATATTTTTTTTTTGTTTTTTGCTAATATCGAAACAAGCATTACCAAGGTAATATAATACATAAATAGAAAAAAGTATTGCATTCAAATCAGAATGAATAAGCTTAATGTTCCTGGTAATTCCTGTCTGTTACAGTGTCAGGGTTGTGTGAGGGAGGACAACTTCTGGCTATCATGGGATCGTCAGGAGCAGGCAAGACCACTCTCCTCAACGTGCTCACATTCAGGTAGGTTCTGCCTCGTCACCTTCAGGGAGGTCTTGCCTCACCATCTTCAGGGAGGTCCTCCTTCATCATCTTCACATAGGTCCTGCCTCATCATCTGGTTGGTCATCCCTAATCACCTTCAGATAGGTCGTGCCACCTCATCTTAAGGCATCTTCTACCTTATCACCCTCAGGTAGGTTCTCCCGTGTACGAAATTTCACACCAAGGCAACAGCTTCAAATTCATTACCCTTTGGCTATGATCCATTAACGCGAAGAAATTCGTCACCTCTTGTGTTCATCACCATTATCATCATCATCAACACATGTCTTTGTTAACTTAAACACCTGTATCACCATCATCACATGTCTCCACCAACCATTCTCGACAGATCGAGAAAGCTGGATATCACAGGAGACATCTTCATCAATGGTCGGCCCGTCGACAAACGGACCTTGGCAGGGGTGTCAGCCTACGTACAACAAGAGGACCTTTTCACTGGCGTCTTCACAGTCAAGGAACAACTCAACTTCAATGTAAGTAACATACGAAGTTTCTAACTTCTAGTACATGTGGGACTGGAGAGAGAGAGAGAGAGAGAGAGAGAGAGAGAGAGAGAGAGAGAGAGAGAAATGTAGGGAGAGTTAAACAGGAAACTTGATGATAAACTGGATTTATATCTATAGAGGTTCTAGTATAATTGTTTTACTCGACAAAGACGTTGACTTTTGTTTTTACGTGGACTGCAGAAGCAGTCATATGACCTAAAGTAATTGTTACCGTGTTGTTGTCTGATGCAGGCCCAGCTGAGGATCGGGAAAGAGGTTTCGCAGAAGGAGAGGAAGAAACGAGTTGACGAAGTCATCACAGAGGTGAGGAACTTCATTGAACACAACTGTGCTCAGGAACCTAACTGAGCACAGCTGTGTGATGACTGAACACAGCTGTGTTCAATCATCACACAGTCGAGGAACTTGACTGAACTCAACTGCCAGAGTCAACACTCGGGTAAAAATCATAAATTATTATACTAGCCAGAGAGCAGCAAACACTAATTTTGTAATTTATATACCTAGCAATGGTTCTTTGCTACCTGCGAGGGGTCTCTCGATCCAAGGAATTAGACCTATTCTTCCTTTCCGTGGACCAGTCTTGATT